TTGTTGACGTGTTGGCGCTCCGGAAAGCTAGGGTGTTGATGAATAGGGATCTCCGGAGCCTTAGTGGCCTCCTCCTCCTGTACTTGAGACAGACGTGGAGCCTGGAGATAGGCCGAGTCTGGGAGGGGAAAACCCAAATCTGCTAAGCCGTCGAGGTCATCTTTTTCGGCCTTTCCAAGCACATCGGAAGTGTAGCCTATTACAACGACACGGGTGCCCTTGAAGGGAGTTACGAAATGATGCCGCTTAGGATCCAACTCGAAAACTTCATCCTCTTCAAGTCTGTGCACTACACCGTGGCGCTTGCGACCTCGTGCATCAGTGTGCTCTACATGGAACCCTTAACCACATCCCCACTACCTAACTCAACCCATAGATCACCCCCACGCTTAGGAAGACACACTGGTAGGATGAGGTTTGTAGTTCCCGGAAGGTTGGAAGAATCAACGTGAATGTCCTTTTGACACGAGTTGGACAAACACACCGACGTGAAGGTAGCATCAGGTGCGTGATGCTGCAACAGGCGCGCGCACAGTGAGGCAAGCCACGGCTTACTCCAAGTTGATCGCATACATCCTACGACCCCTCCCCTACGGAACATTCCAGCTTGAAACTGCTCTTCGGGGTAGGCTTGGCAAACCTGCATGAGGAGATTCTTGGCAGCCTCAGCATCCCATTCCTGCAGCAAAGTCTTTGCGCCAGCTTCAAGCTCAGACCACGTCCATGAGACAAGCTGGGCAGCTCGCAGCTCTGCTTCCGGCGGGGACTTTCCTACAACGCGACGCCTTAGAGGGACAGACTCGCCCTCAAACTGCTCAGGGCACTCAGGAGGCTCAACAACCTTAGTTCTCACGTGCAGCGACTGTGTGAACCCATTGCCTTTGCCATCATCCCTGTACACCAAATGACCTCCGTTAACTGTTGGAGATAAACCCGCATACCGACCTGAAATCCACCGTTCGGCTATTTCACCCTTGGCAGCTGCAACAGACGTGTAGGCCTTCACGCGCACCAGGCACTTAGCACCAAAAGGCGCTGCAAGCTTCGTGGCCATACCTAGTACCTCAGACCTTTGCTGTGCTGCAGCAGCTCGCATTGCACATGCCCACAAGGACGGCGGGAAATCAGCAGCTCGCAGTAGAGTTCGTGCGCGAGTCTTAAGCCACCTGATGCTGCGCTCTGCTGAGCCGTTTTGGGCTGGCGCATCACCCTCAGTTGTGGCGACCCTCACGTGCAAACCACTTGCGAGTGGCCTTGTTCATGAACTCACGCGACCTATCGGTATGCAAGCGCAAAACTGGAAGATTCAGTGCCCGCAAGTAGAGGTAAATTTCTTGAAGGGCTTCAAGAACGCAAGGAGACTTGTTGTCAAGCAGCGGAACACAGAACATGAGTCTGTCTGACTGCAGTGGCTCCTTGAGATCAGAGTACTCAAACTCCCAATCCCCTTCTTGAGGACCGCGATTCGGAAGTGCCTCCTCCTCGTCGTCAGCTTCCTCCTCCTGCGCCTCTTCTCCCTCTTTCTCCTCCTCAGCATCTTGGCTCTCGGCCTCCTCTTTCGAGGGGCTATAACCGTCGTCCGGAGCGTGCAGCGGAGGCGGAAGAGGTGGGCCATCATCTTCACTAAGATTCTCTAAGATATCCCTCGCTTCTTCTTCAGTTAGCCCTACACCTGCACCCTCAGGGAAATCATCCAGCGGCTCCTCCTTGGACAGATCTACCTCCTCTAAGGGATCTGGAATTTCGGGCATTCCGTGCAAACGAGGAAAACGATACGAAGCAGCTAGAAAATACTTGAACTTCTTCGGCGCCTTGGACCTGCCTTCCGGATCAACACCGGGCACCTTCAGAGGTAGAACAGACATCAGCAGACAGAGTGAACTGTGAGGGGTGAGTCACACCAACGTGGCGACGTCCTGAGGCGGCAGTTCTGATGCACACACTACAGTCCTTCCGAAACGGTTGGTGATTATTCTTAACAGGATCCCTCCAAGCCTGTTCATCTGCC